GTGATCTCCACAGTCAATGATGACAGGCGGTCAGAAAGCCACAGTCAGTTCGTCTCTGTGTGGCCCGCGGGCGGCCTCTCCTTGCCCCCCTCTGTCGACCTGAAGGACGACCCTTCGCACATCATCGAAGGAATCCTGGACTAACTCTGATTCTGTATTCTTTGTTGCACCTGTTCTGTTCTCTAATAAATTGTTATTTGTTTCTCTTCGCAACATTCCAGCGTTCGGTTTAAAGACCAATCGATATCCACCATAGTCACACTTTTGGTATGGCATCGAAACGTAGGATCGCTCATTCTAACAAGCACCAAATCTTTTCCAATATTTCTCAAAATATCACGCGTTTGCACTTTTTGGGAGGTTTTGGGAGGTGTATGGTTTTGCCACTCTTTTGAAAACGCGAGTTTTCTGGATTCCATGGGACATGACTTTATTCTTTACCAATTTTCTGGCAAAATTTTGGTACCGCACGAAAATGCAGGACGTGTGCTTTCCAATAAGAGCCCGACTCCTTCTCAGAGTTCACTTCTCGAAAAATCGTATGTTCGCACTTTTTTCCCTAAGTTTTTTAGCGGTAGCTTGAAGTTTTCGATTTGAGGCCATAGCTTTCATCAAAAGGCTTAATCGAAGATTTACACCACAGTCGTGGGACCAGTCCCTATCTACAGTGCGTACCAAAAGTATGTGGACACCCTAAATCGATTCTCAGGGTCAGCTAAAGGCTTTTGTGATGAAACCTTCACCATTCAACTCCTAGTGGTCGATAACCTACAATGACATTTTCGGCAAAAGATTTCGTTCTAACTTAGCGAACTATTTTTCATGGAAAGTTTTTTCTTTGTATCAAAATTATGTGGACACCCTGAGGCAGATGAAGTTTTTGCATCGATTTCCTAACCTATTTTTACTTTTCCTTTCGTTACTTATTCTGGCATCATTCCTCTTCACGGCAAGCATTTTTCTGAAGAAGACCAAGCACAGATATGGAGTCCTCATGTTGCTGAATGTTCCAATTGCAAATCAAAGCGTTCGAATGACCTTCCCGGTCTTAAAAATGAACATTAGCGTTTCATTCGATCGAATGAGCGCGTGATGCAATAGAAAATGAGGAAAGCTTCGTGTATGGATGCCTAGCACAAGTTGGCAAGGTTTGAATTCCTAAAAACTGAACCACAACATGAACGTCGAACCCGGACAGACAGCGCTTTCGTGAAAATGGTAAGATTAGAATAAAAGACTTTCTGTGGAAATTTCTTCATAGACCAACTCGACTGGCAGAAAGAAGCTTATTCCTTACTATTCGGGTGGGTCTTGAGGTTTTTGGAGAGACTTTGGTCGGACCCGCAGATGTGCTCGAAGAGACAATTCGGAAGATGTTCATCAAAGGTCTGGGGTGGTTCCAAAAGGAGGGGAAAATTGGAGTTTGGCTTGCCAACATGTCAGGTAGACAACTAGGATTATAATGAGGTGCTTGAGTCCCGGCTACAACCTTTTTCGAAAAGTCATGTCGCAAATCACTTGTTTTGCAGGGGAGGTCCCTGACACCATTCCATTTGGAAAAATGCTAAACGCAACGGCTTTGATTGGCAAGTCGGCTAGCGTATTCCTCAGACTTCATCCTTATTGAAAACGTAGAGGTATCGTGGTTCGCGGTCTCTACGTCATTGAACAAAAGAGTAATATCACAAGTGACCTAACACGTCGGTGAAATTTGCTAGTTGGGAACAGATCTGCAAGACATGTATCCAGACCCCATTCATAGCATGCCAAACAGAATGGCTCAACTTACTAGAAACTTTGGTAGGCCTACCGATTTCAGATTCTGAAGATATTGCCGTTTTTCAAAAAGTGTCCACATACTTTTGATACAGGGGTACACAAAGGTTTTTCCATCAATTAAAAAAATTAAAGCTGCATGTAAATTGGTGAGAAATGAGAAATTCTAAGGTTTTCGCATACGAGAAATAGAATGGTGGTGGTCGCATGGTACAGAAGTCAACAGTTTTAAAGAGAATGGAAAATTTTAGGGTGTCCACATACTTTTGGTACGCACTGTATGGAGAAAACAAGGCAGATGACGGCTGACGAAACGAGAGCATATGGGTCTATGGAGATGAAGATGTTACGATGGAGTCTGGGACACACGCGATTCGACCACATTCGGAACGAAGACATTCGAGACAAGATCAAGGTCCAACCGATCGTCAATTCCCTTGCCTCCTCTCGCCTACGCTGGTATGTCACATTTTACGAAGGCCTCCAGACACCGTGTCCAGATCAGCCGATAGTATCACCTTCACTGGTACACGCCCGAGAGGCAGACCCAAATTACGATGGATGGACAACGTGAAGATCGACATGAATGCTGCTGACCTGTCTGCAGACGATGCATGGAATCGAGATCGCTGGAAAGCCTTGGTGAAAAAGCGTACCCGACGAAAGTTGGACAACAACGCTAAGAAGAAGAAGAAGTTTTTGTCAAAAGGTCCATTTCAGTTGGGCAATGGTATTTTTCGGAACTAAGAGGTTCGTGCTTTTTATTTTACACCATGGTAATCTTGAAGAAGCTTCCATCGAGAATTTGCCATTCCCGAAACCTATTTTCAACATCGAGGGATCAATCCTTTCATATCGTTGTACTTCCTTGCACTTATCTTTGATTCTTATACGCAATATCCCTTCAGAGCAATCTTTCCGCTTATAATGAATCGAATTTAAAGCGCTTATAGCCACTAAGTTCTGCTCTCGGAAGCGCCACGCGCAAACCTATGGTTCAAAGTTGCGGATATATTTGGTAGTCTGTATCTGCTTGCTATGACCAGAGACCAGAGAGAGTCAGCCATTTCCATCTTCGTCATGTAGGGATCCAAGCGTGAGTTTACGGATGTGTTCTACATTCATTAAGATCGCACAAAATTGATATTCTGGTTGCTCACTTGTAGGCTTCGGCAAGCTCGTGCTGCATCCCTTCGATCTGTGGGTGATGTACGAAGCAGTCAAATTCAAAATGAACAACTTGTCTTTCATTTTTTCACAAACTCACGTCCTTTATCCAGCGTATTCCTCTCCCATTCACCTACCAATGAAGACATCGCCACGATTCCCTCCCCCCTTCGACTTTCCAATCACCTTCCCACACCATGAGCTCCTCGTTTGAACAGACGGTTGACCCCGCTGCGAAGCCAACCGTGATCTTTTGATCCTCCCACATACATTACCCTGTACATATAGTACTTTTGCCCTTCCGCTTCTGTGGGTTTTCTTCTCTTGGTATCATTTATTTAGCCAATTTCTTGTTTTCTTAGTATGTATGAGGCTCGTACTGTACATGTACTGTCCATTTAACTAATTGCAAGAGCAAACAGTTCTCAAGCTTCTTTGTTTGCAGAGACCTCGTATTTTATTGAAATGAAGCTCTTCCAAGAATCTTTATTTGACGATGATCGACGCTACGTTCCACCATAAACGAAAGGCGTAGCGAAATTGGTGATGCTCAGATCAACGCCATGTTCAGTTCATTAGGAACGAACAATGGCGTACATCGTTATTATCGACGATCAGATCGCGTTATGTTATCCCATCATCGCATGGCAATCGAACAGGAAAAGCATCTTCGTAAATTTCTGTTTCGCGGCGATAGGACCACGGTTAAAGCGAGAGATTACGATAAAGTGTGTGTGCAGCGTGGAAGTACATGCACCATGGAAGCAGTAGTCAGGGGCCGAAGGAAACGAAATGTTGCGTTTTTGTGGCCAAAGGTGCGCTAGTTGCAGCGTACTGGGCTTGCCATTCCTTTCTGAGCGGCCTGTGCTCCGCCCCCAGCAGCAGCGTCCTTCGATTATCATTTTGATGAGGTATTCCGCTTGAGTGCGTATCCTATAACTTTCCCATGGAACGCGTTACCAATCAAAGCATGGCCTTTGCTATGATGGTGGCTATCAGGTTCAACATGTGCAAACGACCTCTTAATTGGTTGCTAGCTCGTCCATTATCGGAGGTCAACGGGCAAAGAAAGGGGTCCCATTTTGCGCCTTCTTGACGGATTTCTTTGCTTTTTTCGCCACTGGGGCATTATTCAGCATCTCCACTTCCACTATGAACCCAGTCCAATCTTATCGTAATCTCTCGCTTTAAGGCACGAGTCGGGATTGAATTGATGCGTTATTTTGTTCAAACATTAGGCAAGGGGTGCAATGAGGAACATTAGTGAGGAGAAAAAGCAAAAAGCACCATAGAAAACACTAAATTTCCCTTAGGAGGCCGGCCGTAGTACGACGGAGAGACACAGCGCTGCGAGGAGAGGGAGAACGCGAGATAGTACGTCGTACGCGAGAGGACGCAGAGACCACGTATGCCGTGGTGGATTACGCTGGCAGCGCGGGCAGCGCGGCGAGCAAGGCCTTAGCGCCATTACCGCGCACTTTTGGGTCACGATAGTGTCGTGTCCTTAGTGCTTGGGGAGCCCACTATCACACCCTGGGAAGAACTTCTGCTGGTTGCCTAATCCTGACTCGTGGCTTTAAGATGATGGGACGTTAAATACCTGTCAGGCGATTCAGCATTGACTGACGAACCACAACAAAAGCACCTCGCAATTTAATTCACTTCTTAGGTGGGCCTCAGTCCCCGTGGACAAGGGGTCTACAATTGAATCTGCCTGAGAATAAGGATCGTGCATATGAAGTGGTAAGATCCATATACACAAACTTAACCGGCACTGAAGTTTTTTGACGGAGAAATCCTACGACTACTTGAAACTTGGATCTGTCAATTGTTTCATCTGTCAGATGGGTGTGTCAAACAGTGGTCTTATACGGTCTTGCTATAGTCCTAAATGTGGATCACAGTTCCTCGCCACCACACTCATTTAGTGATAAAGTATCTTCTTTTAAGCAGCGAAAGACTACGAAAAATGTGTTTATTGTCCGGGCATCTCTTATCTAGACAAAAACTGCATATGTTCATAAAAGTATTATGGATACATGTGAGTTTGTCCTGGTTTAATGTCTCGCGGCACGGCGCGATACAAATACAGCCGACCGAGGCGGGCATGGACAGTAAGCAGCGTCGCCTCCAGGAGGTGCCGGAGCTCCTGGATTTCCTGGCTGTCCGTCGGGCCCTGGCTGACCTGGTGCTCCAGGCTGCCCGGCTGGTCCAGGTGCGCCAGGGTTTCCTGGAGCTCCAGGCTGTCCAGGGCCTCCTGCGTTACCCGGAAGTCCTACTGGTCCGATAGGTCCAGGAGGTCCGGGTAACGAAGTTGATGTTGTGCCGTCTTGTCCTGGCTGTCCAGGTTGTCCATCGTTTCCTGGGTTTCCTGGTGATCCAGCATCTCCTGGTGGTCCGGCGGGTCCTGGCTGTCCATCTTGACCAGGAGATCCAGCTTGACCGGGGTTTCCGTCAGGTCCCGCGTCTCCAGGAGCTCCATCTGGTCCAGGCGGTCCAGGTGGCCCAGCTGGGCATGTGATGCATTCGGTGTCTTGTCCAGGGCATTGAATAGGGGCGTAGGTAACGGTGTTGTCTTCGCCAGGCTCTCCGGGTGCACCAGGTTGTCCTGAAATTTACAACGTAACGTCTGCATCGGTTAGATATGAAAAAAGACAAACCAGGAGGTCCAGGTGGTCCGGGAGGTCCAGGTGGTCCAGGTGGACATGTCGGCTGTGTAGGTGTGCACTGGCAGAAGGACGGGAGACCAGCCTGTCTCTTGTTACGGAAGATTGAGCTGAACGGATTCTCACGTGGTTTAGCTGGAGGAGCAACCGTCACTTGGAAGTCAATCATTTGATTCCAAGCCGAGTCAGTCTCAATGCGGAATTGTGGACTCCTTCGATGACTTCGTTGTGAATCTCGTTGATTGTGTTGTAGAGAGATGGGACCACAATCAGACAGGCAACGATGGTCAGAGTAGAGCAGGCCGAAGCCACGCCGACGACGAACTTTTCCTCGAACATGTTGTGTTGATTAGTCGGCCTCCCGCTTCACTTTTATAGAGCGCTTTCTGGATTGCGTCACTCAATTTGGACTGCATCTCACAAGGAACTGAAAAGTGGACTGCTTTTGAAGCTGTTGTAAGGTGCAGCGCGGATCATCGCCACGGAAAGTGAGGCGCTTAGCGTCGTACGCCAATCGAATAACATAGCATATCAGCAACACGAAGTTTCCATGAATATATGAGACGGTTCCTGTGATATTTTACCGGTTCTTTTTTGAATTAAATTACTGAAATTTTTAAATCGAGTTACACGTTCTGCACTCATGTACCATTCACATTCACAATCTTGCTTGAGAATTAAGAAAATCTAATATTATAAGGCGTTAAATATGTCTTTCAGAGCTTCTGCTATTCCTTTACAACGGTTGTTAAGAGTTTCTTTGTTTGTGCAGACATAGGAGGAAGGAATACTAGTAGAGGGGATCCATGTTCCAAAATTGTCTACTGGAATTTGTAAATTAGGCAATCGACTGACACTGATGTAAGGTTCATTTTCTAAAGCCAGTATTAAAGGCAGCGATCACGATAAATTCAAGAAGGGTTTAGTGTGACGTGGTGGTGCTCAATGGTACGCCAGTAGCGAAAAAGCAGAGAAATCCGTCAAGAAAACGCAAAACGGGACCCCTTTTTTGGCCGTTGGTTTTCACTCATGAACAGGTAACAGCTCAGAAAGTGGACGTATGAACGAGTTCACCGCAACGCGTTTGATGGCACCATGCCAAACCACGCTTTAATCGAGATGCTCCATTTGTGCCGCTGCTGGCACGCAGCTCGTCCAAATCAACAAGTAAACTAGTGGGCGGATCGCTTTTGGGGGCGGAGCGCTTTCGAAGTCCTGCTCAGCAACCAGCGCACCTTTCGTTGTGAAAGCGCCACATCTCGCTTCCCTGGCAGCCAAGTAACTGATTCGTGTGGTGCACATGCTTCCCCGATAGGCTCCCTCTTTATCGTAATCGCTTCCTTTGAATAGAGTTAAATCTCAGAGTCACAGAGGGCAACTCCACTGGGAGTCGTGGGAAATCCTCGCGCAAAGAGCACACGATTCCGAGTGAGCGGCGATACTCTCAGACTCGTCGCTTTTCGTGAAATATAAACTTTGCCCTGTTAATGATATTGAAGCCTTCATGGAGATTCAGGAGGGAGGTAACTGATACCAGTCCAATTCCTCTATGAACAACTTTGTCATACGGATCTCGAGACTTTCTTTGCACAACTGTTGACCGTGTTTGCTCTTCTTGGGCACACATTCGTTATATTATTATTAGCCTGTCATTGGTTTCTTTGCTCTGAGCAATAGGAGCTTGGAGAGTAATCTGTTTCTCTCTAGACTGTGTCAAAAAGTGCAAAGCTCAATTTATCTGTCTCTATCGATCTTTTGTTGATTTTTTCCATAAAAATTAGATTAACTAGTCACTCATTTCGGCCATTCAGATAACTGATTGATTTCGTGTTAGTGTGCGCTGAGTAGGGTTGGTCCATAATTTACCAAGGTATCCATTCTTTTAGCTCTTCAATTGTTGGCAAGCAATGCGTTTTCCATCTAATACTGTCTATGTATACGCATGATAGCGTGTAATCGCAAGCGGTGTTACGACGTTGTAATCTTCCGTGTAAATGAAGGGGCTTTCACTCTTTTATATCAATTTTCTTTTTCTTTCTTTCACTCTTGGGAAACGGTACGAGGTATTTTCAATCCAGTTTCCAGCGCTAGCGGGTTGAAAGGAAAGGCAAGTGGTTCGCGCACAGTTTTCTTATCATTAACAGCGAAGGCGGAACAACGTAGCCATTGCGCAACGCGCGTTCTCAGGTCTCAAACCACCTTGATCGTTTCTGGAAATACCCAGAAACGATCAAGGCGCTTTTGGCAAACATAAGATACCTATGTATAACTTTACACAATCACATCAATGATCACATTCCTAGAACCCGCCCCAGTCAATCACAATCTTTGTTGTAACAGAACTCATCGTCAGAGCAATGCCTTTATTCTTCGAATAGTTGCTAGTCAACGAAAAATTGTGCACCAATAACGGAGAAATGCTCCTTTGGGGCTTAGTGTTTGGCGACACGGCGAGCCACGAACGCAGCTGAGCGAGGTGGGCATGGACAGTAGGCGGCATCGCCTCCTGGAGGTGCTGTGCCTCCTGGGTTTCCAGGAGTACCGTTGGGTCCGGGCTGTCCAGGAGCTCCGGGTTGTCCAGCGGGTCCAGGAGCTCCTGGGTTTCCTGCGTTTCCTGGCTGTCCAGGTCCTCCTGCATTTCCAGGAGCTCCTGCTGGTCCAGCTGGTCCAGGTCCTCCAGGGGTGTTGGTTGAGGTGGTGCCGTCCTGTCCGGGTTGTCCAGGCTTGTCCATCGCTTCCTGGGTTTCCTGGTGATCCAGCGTCTCCGGGAGGTCCAGATGGTCCTGGCTGTCCAGCTTGTCCAGGTGATCCAGCTTGACCTGGGTTTCCGTTTGGTCCTGGGCCTCCAGGATTTCCATCTGGTCCGGGTGGTCCTGGTGGTCCAGGTGGGCAAGTGACGCAACCGGTGTCTGGAGGAGGGCAGTTGATGGGGGCGTAGGTGGTAGAAGGCGTCCTCGCCGGGCTGACCAGGTGATCCAGGTTGTCCTGAAATGGTTCACTGTAATATGGCCCAAATAGTCTAAAAAGATGTAAGCTCACCAGGTGCTCCAGGCTGTCCGGGAGGTCCAGCAGGTCCAGGTGGGCAGTTGACCGTTGGTGGCGTGCACTGGCAGTAAGAAGGCAGGGCCTGTCTCTTGTTACGGAAGATGGAGCCGAAGGGATTCTCACGTGGCTTGCTTGGGGGAGCAACGGCCACTTGGAAGTTCATCATCTGGCTCCAAGCGGAGTCGGTCTCGACGCGGAACACGGAAACTCCTTCGAGGACTTCATCGTGGATCTCATTGATGGTGTTGTAGAGAGATGGAACCACGATCAGGCAGGCAACGATGGCCAGAGTAGAGCAGGCCGAAGCCACGCCGACGATGAACTTCTCCTCAAACATTCCGTGCTGTCACTTTGGCTGCCAGCCCCTGTTTTATAGGGTTTCTAGGATTGCGCCATTACGTGTGGACCGTAATCTGATGGAATAACTGATATGTAAACCGATTTTTTATGCCACCGTAATGATGTGCTATAGAAAACTGTAAAAGAAAGTATCTTGAATAGAGTCGGTGACGGCTGAGAGATATACTATGAAGGTCTTGGTGCAGCGATACATTCCTTCCTTCGTGTTGCTCTTATTCTCCATTCCATCCTTCCACTTTTCAATTAAACCAACTTCAGTTTGATTTTTTTCTGGTTCCCTAATATCGCTGTTCCCTAATATCGCTGTTAAACTAAGTGTTTCTGAAGAACAATTTTTGGTTACAATAGGGAACATGCATTTTTTATCCTGCATTCGATTGAAGAACTCTGCTTCACTAAATAGAGAGCGCTTGAATCCTCTTGATGCTCTGCGGTACCCCTTTTGGCTTCCACATGCTGTCTTCCAACTGCATGAATGCACAAAAGCGTGTAAAGCTTATGCTGCAGTGATGACGGTCATGTATCCATATGCAGCAATTACAAGCAAAGGTCGGGCTGAGCCTAACCAAGTAGTCCCTCTTGAGAGAAGTTCTAGATCCGAAACTCCTGTGGTGGCACCATTTCCACTCCTCTTAACGCGTCACTAGGACGCTGGGTGATAAGGGCTCTGACCCTCCTACATCCATAAGGATCCATGCCCAACACTTCGACACCCTCACTTGTCTAGAAATTTCACTACCATGTACTCTCGACAGAATTCTGTTCCCCCTCCGCAACTCACATCTTATATGTCACGCTCTATTTCTTGAAACGCTCAATAGAGCGATTCGTATGTTCTGTGTTTTGAAGATTTATTTTTCATTTTCCACTTGCGCTCCACCTCACAGCCCTGCCTTTATATTCGAACGGAATCACCACACAAACTGTTGCCTGAGGCTCGCTTTCAATGGATGAAAACTGCACCTTCGTCCAGACAGCCCACTGGAATGTTTTGCTCGCAAAACCAAGCAAGCGTGCTCGCACATGAGTATGATATAACACGATAAATATAAAAACACATAATACACGCATATGAAAATTATCGCAGTCCAACGTATGATTTTGTTAAGAAATCTAATAGCAGCTGATTGATTACAAAAATGATTATCGGGAATTAATGAAAATTCTTACCATAACTTACTAGCGAGAGACCCATCTACTTCACTGTTTCATCTACAATACAGAGGCATCGATGAGAAATATGAATTGACTCACATTCGGTCTCAACACGTGAGGCCATCACTAAAATTAATGCAGTGTTATAGGAATGCACATTAAAGGTATTCGCTGAGATCAGACTGGTGTGGTTCTTGCACCATAATGAAGAGGAATTGGTGCGAAGGGGGCCAGGCAGTAAAGAAAAAAGGAAAAGAATCCGTCGAAAACGCTCAGGTTGAGGGCTCACTCACCTTCCTAATTGGCTGTGCTAAAGGAACGAGAGACTAAGCGCGAGAGGAGAGTATGAGGCGAGAGAGCGTAACAGATGAGAGGGCACCAGACAACGGCCTTTGCATGCCAGGAAACATTGCAGCTGGTGCAGCATTGTAGTGGCACTGGATGGACCCTTGTCGAGTGATACTATGCACGGAAGTGGCACATTTGCGAAGGCCCTAGGGTCTATCTCACAGGCCGACGAGAATCGTTCGTTCAATTCTTGCCTGGGATGTGCCATCAAATGCAGGCTCAAAACGTGATCAATCAATCCGCTGTCATCTTCAGTACCCTGTGATGTGCCCGTGAAATCTTAGAAGCTCGGGATCACTGGACTTTTGAGCAGCCTCAAACGTTAACTCTAATTTTCTCTGAAGTTATCATCGTCTTCTTTACGGTGACTAGCGCTTCTAGGAACAAGAAAGCAATCTTAGAAATTTGAGCTTTTCTCGGAGCATTTTTGGAGAAATATCGGAACATGAACGTCCATCAAACGCGAATTATAACGAGAGTGTAAGAGAATATTCGCGTTCTTCATCAGATTTGATTTCGAGTTTTATGCTGTTTGAAGTGAATCTTCCGCTGGAAGGATACCACAGATATTTGAAGGCATGGATCGGGATCGAGTTGGTGTGCTATTTTGTTCAAAGGTCAGGCAATAAGGAGCATTGGTGGGAAACAACGGCTCAAGATATTAAAGATGCACTTAACCCAGAGCAATAAGCACTATCTGAAATAGCTGCAAAACTTTTTGCAATGGTAGCGAAACCCTTGAAGATGATGGGGGTGGTAGATTATGGGCAGTGCCAACCACTGATCAAAAGTTCTGACCGAAGCACGAGAGCATGGAACTACTGCGGAGCTTCTCCCTAAACTGAACATAACGAATTGTAGTTTCCAGTGTGGATGAAAAGAAGGAACGTCGATGAGGGCGTATCGCAACATACCACCATTTTGAAGCCTACTGATTTGTGACATCCGACATGGAGTGGATTCCTTGCTAGTGCCTATGGACCTTTGACCGAGTGACCATGATCCAACTTTACAAATTTCGCTGCACTGAAGGAAGGTGATGGTGAATTTCATAAGGTCACCTCTGGCCTAGCTCGCCGTTACAAGATGGAACTGTTCCAGTAGAAAAGAGCAACTGAAACTACACCAGAAGCTCCAACATACAAGTTCAGTTCTTCTCACAATAAAGGGACCGATACATCTCCGACAGTGATTTGAACGCACATCGTACAACCAACCCTACACAAGTTGTACCGGCAGGGCCACGGATTGATGCTTCTCAGTGGACCACTTTTCTAATGAGCGGCATCTTTTCTCAGACCTTGATACCTTCCTTAAGGAGAAATGTAATAAGACCCAACACGATGCTGAACCCACCTTTGCCGGGTTCATCGCCTCCAAAGCTCCAATTTCTTGAACACTTGTGCTTATGTGAGTAAAGCTGTTTCTCAGAGGCATAAGTTTGTAGAAATGCCGCGTCATTGAGACTGCAGCAGTTACTGCAATGAAACTTTCGAGTTGCCGTTGCGGTTGCCCAACATGAAACCTTAATCGTTATTACGACCTCAGTCGCACGACTATCAGCAAGTGATGTAGACTTCGTCAAAGCGGGTGTTGCTTAGCTTATGTTGATCGGCAGAAAGGGTATCCTTTCTTGGTCTTCTTTGCGCTCAGTGTAGTATGGCTTCAAGGAGTGGGAAACAGGATCCGTCTGCCATTCTGATACCAACTCAACGTCTCTCCGTATATTCATTCACCAGATATTTCCCTGACGAGCTATGAAGTGAAAAGCCGCTTTTCACTTTATCGCTCTATAAATTCAGTCAGCTTTTTCCAGCTACTATGACTTTTGACATTATTTCCGCACCAATACTTGCCTACAGATTTCAGAGGAGTTTGAACTTTTATAGCTCTGTTCAGTGTAACGTTCAGCAGGTATAGGAAGCAGTTCTGGATTTTCCACCTCAAGATGACTGTGTACACTCATTGCACATAGACGGACCAATCTGTTGATCTATTCTGGTTAGAAGCAGCCACACGAAGGAAGTCATTAACTCATGATGTTTTAAACGCTGACCTTTTGCTGAAAATGCGAACACCACGAGTTCAGACAGGCCATCGGGAGCTAGTGTACTGGAGCGCGGTCTCTTAATTCTGGGACTTTAACGCATTTTGAGCACAGTAGGCAATTTCATTTTTTAAACGGTCAGAAAAACTATTACTCACATAGCCCACTTTGCACTGAAAACTGGGCCCAAGTAAGTTGGGAGGCCGCGAAGAGGTCCCTGGAACGAAATATGGTAAAGGAAGGGACTCTGGGTCAGGTGAGAATGGTTGGCTAAACCTGACGTCCTTCCTTCTGAAGCTCATTCTAAATCTGAGTGGTATCATAGTCTGCGTCGACCTCAAGTATTAGTTTTTCTCTGTTTATAAAAGAGAACGTTTGTTGTGTGGAATGCGTTTCACATTCGCGTTATGATGTCCACTCGACTTTGGTGCTGACATTTGGACCCTATTGGTCCAGTGCAGTCCAACCTATATGCACTAGGAGGTAGTCAAGTACATGCTCATCCCACACTGTTGTTGCTGAAGGCGAGTATCGCAGTAATCTGACGTCACATGCACTAAGGAACAGATATTTGCTTGGCTAGTACTACATCTAAGACCTGGCTCGACAAAGGTGGTCACGATGCTCGGCTTGAAAACGCGAAAAAAATTTTGACGCTTGTTTTCCTCTACTAAACTTTTTGACGAAAATCCAAACCGGATTTGTTCAATACACACCGCCAGTAGCTCTCTGGGAAAAACAACTCATTGAATGGTTGGAGGGCAAAAATCCCTTTACGTTTTTGTTTTGAACGATGGTTTCTTCATTTTCAGTGCATGTTTACTTTAACCTACACACATATATTAAATGTAGGCCCTTTATCAGGACAATCCCAGTTGGGAAGACAGAGAAAATTTAAAGGGATTTTCGTCCCCAACCCTTCGGGGAAGCATACCTTACGGCCCCTGATTGCAACCTGTGCGTTACTAGGTGGATACTATGAGGAAGACGAAAGGACGCAAATGATATCGTGACATCGCATGAAAATCATTTCGATGCTGCCGAGTTGACTTCCCACCGAAAAACTTCTGCTTGAATAACGCCTCACAGCTTTCCCAGTCGATCCTTTTATGGTCTTTCCTAAATCACATCATTGATTTGAACTGTAACTCTATAGTAACTAAGACAAAAACCGATTTCGGGTAATTGCTATGATTCGATGATTCAATCTGCGGGAAAGTGAGGGTGTTGGCCTTGAGTGGATGTTTGATGGAACCACAACTCAATAGCGCCTTTCATGTTTCAATACCTCAAAATGACATCTCAGCTTCCCATCGGAAATGGTCGAATTTTGCAATGGTACGCAATAGCACCTCGAGAACTGATTTTAGTGGAAAATAGGAATGGTGCTCAAAAACCAAAAAGCTTAGTGATGGCATCAGTCCGTCAAAATTGCAATGTTTCTTCCTCACCTCTGTCGACGCGTACAACCTCACTTTCGCTCAAATTCTTTATCGAATCACTGCGATCGAATCACAGCCCCACACATTAGTAAAATGCTCGGATAATAGTCAATTACAGTCCACTTCAGATGATCTAATCGCCGTTCAAGAAAGCCCATAAAAAGGGCGCGGAAGGCCCAATAACCAACACAGAATGCTCGAGGAGAAGCTGATCATCGGTGTGGCTTCGGCCTGCTCTACTCTTGCCATCGTTGCCTGCCTGATCGTGTGCCATCTCTCTACAACACCATCAACGAGATCCACGATGAAGTCCTCGACGGCGTCTCCGTGTTCCGCGTCGAGACCGACTCCGCTTGGAGCCAGATGATGGACTTCCAAGTGACCGTTGCTCCTCCAAGCAAGCCTCGTGAGAATCCCTTCGGCTCCATCTTCCGTAACAAGAAGACAGGCCCTGCCTTCTTACTGTCCAGTGCACACCTCCAACAGTCAACTGTCCCACCCGGACCTCCTGGACCTCCTGGACAGCCCGGAGCTCCTGGTTAGTTTCTTTTCTTTTTACGATTTCATTTGGTTCAAAGCTCATTCCATGAGAATTTTAGGGCAACCTGGTGCGCCTGGCCAACCTGGAAGTGACAACACCGTCACATACGCTCCTATTATCTGCCCTGGAGGAGACACCACTTGTATCCAGTGCCCAGCAGGACCTCCAGGTCCACCCGGACCGGATGGAAACCCTGGAGGCCCAGGACCCAACGGAAACCCAGGACAAGCTGGATCACCTGGACAAGATGGACAGCCAGGACCATCTGGACCTCCCGGAGACGCTGGATCACCAGGAAACCCAGGAAGCGATGGACAGCCTGGACACCCGGACAGGACGGCACCACCTCAACCAACACCCCTGGAGGACCTGGACCAGCTGGACCAGCAGGAGCTCCTGGAAATGCAGGAGGACCTGGACAGCCAGGAAACGCAGGAAACCCAGGAGCTCCTGGACCCGCTGGACAACCCGGAGCTCCTGGACAGCCCGGACCCAACGGTACTCCTGGAAACCCAGGAGGCACAGCACCTCCAGGAGGCGATGCCGCCTACTGTCCATGTCCACCTCGCTCAGCAGTGTTCGTGGCCCGCCGCGTCGCTAAGCACTGAGCTTCCGACGAGCAACTCTCCGCTATTAGTGCACATCTGCAGTTTTTCATTAGCGACAATTCGGAGAATAAAGGCATTGCTCTCACATTGACTCTTGTTGAACATTGAATGATTGAAGGTTTACGCCTCTGATGGCAGACATCTACTGCTTTTCCTCAGACCAGAATTCTCCCGCGGCCATCGCCGGGACCAGCCTTCCTTGCGTAGCTTTCACTACGGTCCCCTTTAAATATGAGTTAACTATCATTTGAAGGAGTTGCGTATGCAATGTAGGAAATTATATCAGATTAGTTCCACACATTATCACACGGCAGGCTTCATTAAAACTGGATATCCTCTGGAACATATATATTTAGCTGGTCATATATGAAAGGAATAACTATATTATTGCTGCGAAGCGCGCCACGAATGTTGTGCGCAATTGATGAGCGTTAGTTTTAACAGTACGGTAGAGTAATCACTTCCTAGTGTTCCTCATCTATCCGTAAAGAAGCGTCATCTGTTGGGTATCTCGATACTTCAGCGGTCGATTAACCTGTGATGATAATGATGATGAAGTAAAAATACCTAGTATTTATCTTAGTATTTCACAAACGTACGTCACCATTCATCGAAAGTTTGGGTTGTATCACGGTAGAATGGAGTTTGATGCTGACGTTAACAATGCAAATGAATGAGATGTGTTTTGATCGGGGATCTGGCTCTGGCATAATCCACTATGTTCTTTATCTAGTCGTTCTTGTCAGCCCTTATCAGCTCTTACCACTTTCGAGCCCCTCCGAACATATTCACTTATCACCCACCACAGGGGGAGGGGGCAGAAAAAGTCACTTTGCCGTGGCGCGCATCCAACTTTTCGTCGCGCAGGGTGCAGCTTTTAATGTAAGTTTTACGGCAAATATTTTCTAGATGTCCCTTCATATGCAGAAGCAGGCGCTCACTCTCCCACCGTCTTGTATAGAACATTCAAAGCTTATTAGCACGTT